TATATATATATATATATATATATATATATATATATATATGTGTGTGTGTGTGTGTATATATAAGATATATTTAAGGTATAGATTATAAACATATGATTGTCAGGTTAACAGGTTAAGGTTTAGATTGACATAGAAATATTTATTTTAGGGCCCGCTTGTGCTGATATGAAGTCTTATGTTAAAATAAAGAGCAAAAAAGTTAGAGGTTTCGCTGAATGGTTTGAAATTTTACAGGTAGCATTGATGACAAATCAGTCCAACAATACCCATCCAAGTTATAATATCACAATCACCTCCCAATAGTTGCCCAAATTTGTTTAGGATTTCAGAAATATAATTCTATGGTTATTAAACAACACCAGAAGGTCCCTACAATAGTACACAAAACTGACTGCACTCCACATGACTGACTATTAAGCATATCTGAGCTAGAAACAGCCCTGTGTTTCACCACCTTTGCAGCCATCTGTTAACCTGTGCAAATACCTTCCTCCAAATCCTTTATAACATGTCCACCTTTGCCTTTATCATAAGGGTTCTATAAAAGTTTCTACAGTAGAACTTGTTATCACTCTGTTCCCAGTTCCAGTGACCAAGCACCACCAGTCCAACATTTTTAATGATTTAAGATCAGAGGCATTGATTTCATTATTCTTGTTTATCTTGCTTTATCCCTTACACCATAACTTTTTCAGCCAACATACAAACATGTATATTTAAAAATATGCAAATGATAAAACTAATATTAGCCTTCTAAATGAAGTAAAAATGATCAGGATCCTGTCTTAGATAATCTTTTTTAAACTTGTTTTAGACATTCATTCTTGTATTTTGTTTTATGCATGTCTTAGACTAAGTATTTTAAACCTAACCCTACTGGTCTTTGAAGTTGGCCATTACAAGACATGGCACCAGGTTTGTTTATACCACTAACCACCCGACCGGTACTGTCAACATTGTATTTAGGGTTCATTTAAACAACGGAACACTGTGTAATAAAGCTCAGCAATGCCAACTGTGTGTTATAAAATGTAAACATTTGACACAGACACAACTCTGATATGCATTTCTGTTTTTTTTTTTGTTTTTTTTTTTCGCATTGAATCCATTGAAATTTTTCTTTAATTTGCTGGTATTGGAACCACAGAGTAGGAGACAGAACTGCGCTCTCATAAATTAGGAATGTTTGCAGCACAATCCTGGTTCTTACCTTCTTTAATTTAGGGAGGAGCAGGAGCTAGTTGATTTAATGGCTGAGGATCTTGCTTTGTGTAATGATGGCAGTGTGTTTTTATGGATTTCTTGTGGGTTCTCAAGCAGGTTTTATTTTGGATTTGATATTGAATTAGTACCTGTTAATCTAATAATATCTCATTATTAGATTTATCTGCATTTACATGCTTTTAGGCAATGATCTTATGTATCAAATTCCTCTCGTTAAATGTTCCTTTGTTTTATATTTATTTTGATATATATATTATGTAATGGCTTGTGAATTAAAACAGAAAAGCGGATAGAAAAAATGGTGCTTTGGCTTCAGTTTCTTACTTTTGTAGGAAACGCACCTTTTAAGATCAAATCAAGTCTGAAAAAATTATTATAACAAATTCAGTATTAGATCACAAAAACATTTCAGAATACAAAATTACTGTTCGTGTTAAAGATGGTGGAATGCCAGCTCTCTCAGCTAAAAGTATTTTTTATGTCAAAGTGTCTGATGTGAATGATAATGCTCCAAGTTTTTCTCAAAGTATGTACAACGCCCTAGTACAAGAGAAGAACTCTACACGTATTTCTATTATCACATTAGTAGTTAACGATCCAGATGTTTTCAGAACCACAGTAGGGACAGCTCCTATTCTGTAAAAGTGATTTCTCTTTATTAGTTGCTGTTTAACTTTTAATACTTATTAATTATTTTTCAATACCTTTCAGCTTATATAGGCTCTTATTATATTGCAATCATAATAATAATAATAATAATAATAAAAATAATAATAATAATAATAATAATAATAATAATAATAATAATAATAATAATAATAATAATAATACCAATGTATGACTATTATTTTTATTCAGCAGTTGATATTTTTTCCATGTATAATGTTTTCACTCGATGCTTTTCTTTTATTGTTCATGCTTACAGACGTTATTGGTGTTCAACTTTTGGTCTCTAAGTGACGCTGTTTAACAAGATAAAATGTATTGCAGTTTATTCTTTCTTCCCTTGGTGTGGCTGTTGTTTGACCAGATGATGCATTCGTGGTGAAGTCATCGGGAACCTTAAATATATTCTAACTGAAAAAGGGGATGATTCTAATATAGCTTTGAAAATCCTTCCATCGTCATTTTTCTCCGTCCGTCTTCAGAATCGTTTTCTCAATCATGGCGTCTCTGCAGTCTTCTTGCAGACTGCGGTTCCTTTTCGGATTTTACTGGATATCAGCAGCGTTGTTCTATGTTTTATTTAATGCTGTTACTGGACAAATCCGCTACTCCATTCCAGAAGAAATGAAAAAAGGCTCTCCTATTGGTTATATTGCACAGGATCTTGGTTTGGATTTAAGAAGGCTCCGTTCTGGCCGGGCCCGTATCGTGACCGGAGAAAGCATCCAGTACACCGAGCTGAAGGTAGACAAAGGGATTCTTGTAGTGAACGAGAGAATAGACCGAGAACAGCTTTGTGGAGACCTTGCCTCATGCAGTTTTAGTCTTGAAATTATTTTAGAAAACCCTATGGAGCTGTATCCCGTAACAATTGAAGTTTTGGATGTAAATGACCATAGTCCCGTGTTTAAGAAAACAGATATTATTTTAGAGATTAGTGAGTCCGCTAATCTTGGAGCTCGATTTGTTCTGGACAGTGCAGAGGACCCTGATGTTGGCGTTAATGGTTTGCAGAATTATGTTTTAACGCCCAACGAAAATTTTGTTTTGAAACAGCATGTTAATCCAGACGGAAGTAAATACGCAGAGATTGTTGTGCAAAAACAACTAGACCGAGAGGAGTTACCTCATTTATCTTTGAGGCTTGTTGCAGTAGATGGCGGTACTCCACAACGATCTGGCACCGTGAATATACATATAAAGGTTTTAGATGTAAATGATAATGCTCCCGTGTTTACCCAATCTGTATATGAGGCCACTGTGACAGAAAATGCTGCAGCTGGCACACAGGTTCTCACGATCAACGCCACAGACGCGGACAGTGGAACTAATGGTCACATAATTTATTCGATTTCAAACGCAAAGAGTAACATTGCTGAATTGTTATCCATTGATCCGTATTCTGGGGTTTTATCCGTTTCTGGTTCAATCGATTTTGAAAAGGATAAAAAGTATGAGCTTAGAATTGATGCTAAGGATCAAGGGGGGTTGACTGATTCAAGTAAAGTGGTAATTGAAGTGATCGATGTAAATGATAATGCCCCTATCATAAACGTAATGTCCTTTACAAGCCCCCTGTCAGAGGATTCTCCTCCTGGAACAACTATTGGTATAATTAATGTAAAAGATCTGGATTCAGGTGACAATGGAAAGGTTAGCTGTACAATTGAAGGGAATATTCCGTTTAAAATAAAGTCTAATCTAAGAAATTATTATACTTTAACCACAGATTCTGTATTAGATCGTGAAACTGTGTCAGAATATAATATCACAGTATCTGCCACTGACAGTGGAGTACCTCCTCTATCGACCAAGAAAAAATTTCATTTAAAAATATCTGATATAAATGATAATGCTCCGGTTTTTTTACAAAATATTTACACTGCTTTTATAAGAGAAAATAATCCTCCAGGTACTTCTGTTATAACATTGTCAGCTAAAGATTTGGACGAGAAACAACACGCTCGCATATCATATACACTCGAGCACATAACTTTTGCTGGATTGCCAATATCGGAATATGTTTCTGTTAATGCAGAAAGTGGATTGATAGAGGCGGTCAGATCATTTGATTATGAGCAAATCAAAGAGCTAGGTTTTATTGTTAAAGCACAGGATGGAGGCTCTCCTCCTCTCAGTAGCAACGTGACTGTGAAAATCCTGATACAGGACCAGAACGATAACCCTCCTCAGGTTCTGTACCCAGTCCAGACTGGTGGCTCTGCAGTGGCTGAAATGGTGCCTCGTTCAGCAGATGTGGGCTACCTGGTGACTAAAGTGGTGGCTGTTGATGTGGACTCCGGACAGAACGCCTGGCTCTCATATAAACTACAGAAAGCTACAGACAGGGCGCTGTTTGAAGTGGGCTTACAAAATGGAGAAATAAGAACAATCCGCCAGGTGACTGATAAAGATGCTGTGAAACAGAGACTGACTGTTATAGTGGAGGACAACGGGCAGCCATCTCGTTCAGCTACAGTCATTGTTAACGTGGTGGTGGCGGACAGCTTCCCAGAAGTGCTCTCAGAGTTCACTGACTTTTCACACGATAAGGAGTACAATGACAATCTGACTTTTTACTTGGTGTTAGCTCTGGCGGTTGTCTCTTTCCTTTTCATTACGTGCTTGGTGGTTATTATATCAGTGAAGATCTACAGATGGAGACAGTCCCGCATCCTGTATCACTCCAACCTCCCTGTGATTCCTTATTATCCACCACGTTACTCAGACACTTTGGGAGCAGGGACCCTTCCACACGTTTACAATTATGAGGTGTGCCGGACCACTGACTCGAGAAAAAGTGACATAAAGTTTGGAAGAGATGGCAGTCAAAACGTCTTGATAATGGACCCCAGTTCAAAAGGGACGATGCATCGGATGCAGAGTGAGAGGAGCATCTTGGATGAACCAGACTCTCCTGTAGAGGTTAGTTATCCTTAAAAAAATTATGAATTGTTTGCTTTTTAGCCATTTCCTTTTTCCATTTATTTGTTAAAGGTTCCTTTGTTTTGTGGTTACCTCTTGTAAAAAATGAATAATTCTTGTTATTCAAAGTGGTATAAATATTTATGTTATATTCTCAGCTGTTATGCAGTTGAATAGATAAAATAGATCAATCAGAAAATACGTTATCATATTGCAATATTCAAATTTTGTCTAAAGTGATTGACAAGTAGAAGTTTCTTTTTCTTTTTTGTTGCTCTTTTATTAGTTTCAGTTGCTTCAGTTGTATGGTTTAATTTTCAGTTACTGGTAGCTGTAGCTGTATATTGTTTTGTTGAAGTTCTTTTTTTTCCTCAGAATTAAAATGGCTCTTCAATGAAAGGTCATTGTCAATTAGTCTGTCTAATAATGAAAGACAGCTGCAGGTGGAGTTCTGCACACTGATTTTAATGTGCTTTGCACCAGAGAAAATACATCCACTTTTCTTTCATTTATTTAACGTTTCCCATGCATTCATATTGATCCCGATCACAGTTCTCAATCTGCGATCCATTAGCAAGTGCTTGCGGGTTTTCCTGTTTGCTGTGATGTCTGCTCCTGTAAGATCTACAAATTTAATTCATTTCAGCATGCATCATACAGCAGCAGTCTGTTGGCAAAGGAGCTCAGTGTGCATCTGAAAACATATATGCAATTCAGACAGGAGCATGGTCCTCTCCAGGTCATCAGACACATGTGAAAACTTCTTATCAAGTTTTTATATATATATATATATATATATACATATATGTGTTCCAACATGTCATAATTGTAGAATACAGAGATCATTGTTGGCGATAGTGGTACTGTTGAAGGTTGTAATACATTGCAAAATGCTCTTAATATGTTTATGACACTCCTATTGTAAGAGATGCTTGTGCATCTAAGGGTGCCTGGATAAATCAGAGAGCCACTTGGCTGTGATGTATGCGGAAGTACAGACTGGAATGCTGTATTTACTCTGGGCTGACGTACAGGCTGAGGATCTGACTGAGAGTCCAGTTGTAATGCAACTTTATTAATAGATCTCAGTTAGATGTCTCTGACTCCTCTGGATCAGGTATATGATGCACATAGTACACCAGATGACCCGGAAGCCTCCTGCTCCTGCGTGGATGGTGACTATACTTCTGACTCTTCTCCTGTGAAGCTGTATCTTTTGGAGTTGCCATGTTGTTGGTGACCAATAAGCATCCGGCTCGAAGGACCACTTGTAAAAGATGCATGTGCGTCTAAGTTGCGCTAATAGCAGAATCACTCATCAACTGAACCTTCCTCTGTCAGAGGGAATAGACTATTATCAGAATGGTTTTGCAGTGTACCCACCGTTGTTTAGTACAAGGATATATCTAATCATTTTCCTAATGTCGCTGTCCATGGTGCTGCAGGAGTCTGTTACTTTATTCACAACTTCTATTTTCAAATGTCTTTTTTTAAATAACAAAGCTGTCTCATTCACTTGGAATACAACTGTATAACATTAATGTCAAACAAAAATTGAGTATAATTATTAAAAGCTTAGACGTTTTTATTTGTTATTGTTTGACTGGCAAATCTTTTAATAACGCTTGTAAGTATATGAGTAAAAAAAATCGAAAAAAAGTAAGATTCTATTTGTTGGTTTTCAAAAAATACTCAATTGCTTCACAGTTCACTTTGTAGAATATCTATCAAAACTAAATAACGTCCAATATATAAAAAAATAAGAACAACAACAATAATACTATTTACTGTCCTAATACTATTCAAGATGGGGAAAATTGCACTGTAATACATATTGAATACTGAGTTGTGTTATAATTGTAAAAATACATTTATTAACTTATAACCCTTGTTTTAGTTGTGGTATCATTGTTTTATTGTTGTCAATAATAAATGTATGGCTGATTTTGATTCAAGTATCTATTTATTCAATCCAAAGATGGCTATGGTGTTTGGAACCTTAGAAATATATTTGGTAATAAGGTTGAAAAAAATGTGTATTCTTTCTGAAACTTTTCAGTTTTGTTATACAGTTTGAAACCCAGCTACTCCTTTATTTATACAATATAATGAAAAGAACATACTATTCACTCTAAGATTTTACTTTTAGTGTACTCTGAGTGCTGCTATTGATACATCACTGCATATCAGTCTGGATAAGGAGTGCTGCAGCCCACATTCCCTACTGAGATATTTACTATTTCATTGCTTTGAAATGATGGAGAGATATTCATATTTTTATTATTATCTTCACTGAATGCAAAAACCTCTGGCTTTAATTTACTGTATGAAACACCAGAAAGGATTCTGTTTGTATGCATTTGGATTTGTGATGAGGTTTTTTTGTGGATACCCACTCCCAGAGGACTGTTTTTTATTCTCTGTCTGCTAAACAAGGGCTTGGTTTCGGCAAAGACTCAGTATTCTGTACCAGAGGAACAATCGGAGGGGTCTTTTGTCGGGAACATTACAAGGGATTTAGGGTTGAATATACAGAGGCTTGGATCAGGTAAAGCTCACATTATTACAAAAGATAGCCAGCAGTATGTGGATTTAAACCGAGACAAAGGCATTGTTGTTATCAAAGAACGAATCGTCCGAGTGGAGCTGTACGGAAAGACAACACACTGTAACTTCAGCTTCAAGTTTATTTTAGAAAATCCAATTTAGCTTTACCGGATTGCAGTAGAATTATTAGATATCAATGCCAACCCTTAAATGTTTACTAAACAAGAAATTATTTTAAAGATCATGGAAAATGCTACAGCTGGAACTCGTTGCTCTTTAGAAAGCGCAGATGACGCTGATGTTGGAATAAATGACATTCAAAAGTATGTTTTGAAACCTCTACATAAATTTAAACTGTTTTTTCAAGATCAGCCAAACAGGGGTACTATTGCTGAAATTGTTTTGCAATACACTTTAGACTGAGATGAGGAGGAGACACACAAGCTTGTTCTTATAGCCCCTAATGGCGGCGAACCAAGCAAATCAGGGACAGTAAGCATATATTCAACTGTTCTCGACGCTAATGACAATTTGCTGGTGTGCAGTCAGTCAGTGTATACAGCTGAGGTGAGGGAGAACTCCTCAGAAGGGACAGATGTCACAACATCTGGGGCAGACAATGCAGACAAAGGCCTTAATGGTGAAGGACATTCTCCATCCCCCATTTCAGAAAAGAGGCAAAACCGCTCTTTGATGTAAATATAAAAACAGGTGAAATTAGGTAAAAAGTAGGTGTTGGTTGTTACATCAGTGAGGATCTAAAGATGGAGACAATCCCGCATCCTGTATCACTCCACCCTCCCTGTGATTCCTTATTATCCACCACGTTATTCAGACATTTTGGGAACAGGGACTTTGCCAAACGTTTATAATTATGCATTGTGTAGGAGAAATGACTCAAGAAAAAATTATAAATTTGGAAGAGATGATAGTCAAAACGTGCTAATAATGGACCCCAGCTCAACATAACTTTTCGTACGATTTCATACGAACTGATAATGAGAATATGTTGTGAGGATACATAGTAAAAAGAGCATCCTGGATGAACCCAACTCTCGTTTAGAGGTTAGTTATCCTGAAAAAAATATCAAATGTTTGCTTGTCGATTTTATGTTTTTTTTAAAAAAAAAAAAAAATTTTTTTTTTGACTAGAAGTGAAATGTACTTTCATTCTCTGGTTTACACAATGATGGCAAAAAATTATTATTTCATGTTTTCAACTTAAGATAATAGGATGTATTATATATAACTACACTAACTTTATCCCTAAATGTAACTATTCTAACTTTATCCCTAAATGTAAAATCAGGCAGTATTTTTTTTCTTTTATTATTATATAATGATGAAACTATATTTATCCTTTTGCTCTATGACTGCCAACCCTGAAGCATGTTACAGGACGATGACGTGTCTGTTTTAATAGCTTAAATTATGGTTATTCATGTTACAGATAGGCATATAAATGTTTTTAAACCTTTTATTTTATTTATCATTGACACTCCTGCTATTTCAATTTTAGACTCTGGGGGCCACTGTTAGTCTTCATAGAAATTTCAAGACGATAAAAAGCAGCGAGTCCTCCATTGCCTCACTCACTGTGCTGCGGAGAGCTGGACGTTCGCTTTGTTTTCATCATTGATTTCTTCGCTCATATATCCGATGAAACCTTGGATACATGTAAAGAAAAAATAAATAAGAGGCTCTTTGGACAATCAGTTCTAGTTTGGACCGACGTTTAACTGTACTTGGATATATAAATTGAGGAATATGCCTTTTATCTTTCTGGAAGGCGTGGCCTTTAAATGGCAAG